CCGCCCCAGCCCGGGGCGAAGTCCTGCCGCGACTCCGGGAAAAATCGACGGGATGAACATCGCGGGTGTTCCAGCCCCCGCGGGGTTTCGCCCCGCGCTGGAACTCCCCTAGGAGTCCTCTCCCTTGAAAGTCCCGCCGCGATATCCGCAGGGATGTGCTGCGAGCCGTGCCGGGCGCTCACCTGGGTCAGGGATACACTGTGTGTGTACGTGTGTAACACGGGAATATCGGTCTTTGAATGGCAGCTCAGCACTGTGAATTAATGCCATGCACATCCTGCTTCTTGGCGCTGCCAGTTCCAGGAGGGGATGGAACTTTTCCTTCCCCCGGAGATGCAGATGTCTGTGATGTGTATATGCTCTCTAGTGTTGATGGTAGTTCTGTCGCGTCTGCTTCTGTTTGCTCCCTTGTCTGTCACGTTCCTCGCAGATGCAGATACTAATGTGTGTGGAGTTATTCTTTGAGGGTTTGGAGTTGTTTGTTTTACCAGCTGTAGTAGTAGATCAGCTTTGATGAAAACGCTACAATTGGCATTTGTTCTCCAAGTGTCAACCACTGCGCAGAATTCATGTATCATGTGAATGGTTTCATTCTCAACTCTTCATAGATCACAGAATGGTTTGAGCTGGAAGTGACTTTAAAGCTCATCTCATTCCAACCCCCTGCCACGGGCAGGGACACCTTCCACTAGACCAGGGTGCTCAAGGTTGACTCCACTAGACCAGGTTTTCTTTAACCATTTATCTGCAGGCTCAGACCACTCCTTGTGTGTTTTGGAGGAGACATCACTTCATTAACCTCCATAGAACTAAGATTATAACAGTGATAATCCCTGCCTTAGAGTTTTTCACAGGATATTCAGAGTTGGAGGTGACCCACAAGGATCATCAAGCCCAACTCTTGACCCTGCACAGGACATCTCCAAGAATCACACCACGAGCCTGAGAGCATTGTCCAAACTCTTCCATTGTTTCTGAAATAGTTTCTTGCTAGTTTTCTGACTCCCTCCCAAAAAGAAAACCTCCCAAAGCTACAGGATATTAGAAATGCTTCCTCTACATAACTAGACCTCTCAGCTGGTATTTCATTTGGAAGTTCGGAGACCTGCAGAGAGACTTCAAAGCATAGAGTCATCCAGGGCTGTTACTTGTTGCGGAGGAGTAACAAGATCTCTGAACATCTTGTCACAGCAAGGGAACAATGTTTCTGGTGTACTTTATTTGCTACATGTGTTGCTTCACAGAGTCAGTTCTGTTGTTGCCTCTGGTAGGTTCGGGAATGGCAAAAGGAAGGCAGCAAGAGATACATGTGCACCGGCCGTCCAGGCTGGCTGACTGTGTCACTGCGGGTTGGGAAGTACAAGAAGATCCATAAGAACATCATGATCAACTTAATGGATGTTCTGGAAGTGGACAGTGAAAGACAGGTAACGAATTCCATCGCAAAGCTTCCACAGTAATGAAGTTCACAGCTTTCTTTGCAATATTTGTAGCTCAAGAGGTTAGGTCCCATAAAGAGCAGAAGATTTCTGTAGCAGTAGACCCACCAAATTTCACACTTTACAATGTGTGCTTGAATCATTCTATCAAAAACCCCAGCATATGGGATTGCTTAGCTTTTATGTGCTGCAGTCTAAAAGACCAGATTGATTTATGGTTTTGGGGACTGAGCAACAGGATGTTGAGGCAGAGGAGGAATCACTAAACAGTTTCAACTATTTTTAGTAGTGCTCTTAGGAAAGTGAGTCTCTGAGTGCTGATAACAGATGGAAGTGTATCCAGTTAGCTATATTTTGTCATTGCTAATGCTGAACACTTAATTTATATTTGGTGGGGGGAATGGGTCTCTTTTTTCTTTTCTTTGTAGATTGTTCGTGTTGAACCTTTGGTGACCATGGGCCAGTTGACTGCACACCTGAACCCCATGGGCTGGACTATTCCTGTGGTACCAGAGCTTGATGATCTCACAATAGGTAAGGGTCGTTGTGATGACAAGAGTCTCACTGATTTGGCTTCATTTTCCTTACTTTTTTTTAATGCAGTAACATGTTGCATTATTTCAAAGGTTCTAGAAATACTCTGTTGAACCTTATGTTCTTTGTGGTATTTATGTTCTAACCAGTTCCTTTTTCCTTTAAATAGTCTTAAAAGTCATGCCCAGAGCTTGAAAGTGACATTTTGCTCTCATAATCCACCCTGTTTCACTTGATTTGTTATGTGCTCTCTTGCTAAGGTGGTGTGATCATGGGAACTGGCATTGAGTCTTCATCCCACATCTATGGACTTTTTCAACACACCTGTGTGGCCTATGAACTTGTTCTTGCTGATGGAAGCCTTGTGAGATGCTCACCAGTAAGGCTAAACATTTTTTTGCTATCATTTACAATGTCATTGGCAGTTATCAGTGTGGATATATGATTTTTATGACATACTTTTTGCAGACTGAAAACTCAGACCTATTTTATGCAGTGCCTTGGTCTTGTGGTACTCTGGGTTTCCTGGTTGCAGCAGAAATAAAGATGGTTCCTGCAAGGAAATATGTCAAAATACATTACCAGCCTGTGAGAGGACTGCAGAAGATTTGTGAGAAGTTCACTGAGGAGTCTAAGAAAAAGGAGAATAGTTTTGTGGAAGGACTTCTGTATTCTTTGGATGAAGCAGTCATCATGACAGGAGTCTTGACTGACGAAGCTGAGCAAAGCAAGGTAACTAAGGGGAAGTTACTCTCAAAGAGAAGATACTCCCAAAGTCTAACTGAAGCTGTACTATATGCCAGTATAAAACCAGAATCATTATAAGAGTGGAACAATGTGTTAACATGAGATTAAAAGTTAGATCTGCCCATAAGAATGTTTTGAATTACAGCTCTTTGCTACTACAACAGAGTCTGTTCTCTAAATCTCTTCTGTTGATCGGAAATGACCATTATTCTAGCAAATAATTCAGCCTGCATCGTCTTCATTGCTGAGGAGGATGAGAAGGATCTTTTCTCCTACACTGAACAATGCTGCTTTGAACTGCAATTATTCAGAGTAACTCTCTTTCCAGCGAGCTTTTAATTCTGTTAACATTGATAAAACACATCAGGGACATGTGCAGGAAGGACACACTGACTGTTGATGCAACTCTGCACCTGCATGGTTCTCCTCTGCCACATGAGATCTGGGTTAATGGTGGGTTTAGAGACTGGTATGTTAGAACTCCAGTTCT